ACATGCTATATACACAATGTCAAATCGCCCAATGTCAAAAGGATGATGGCTCTCACAACGACGCTTAGCAGCAGGCTCCATGGTCTCACCAGCTGGTCCACCAGCTGTGTCCGACATCTCCGCTCAGCATGCACGGAAACGGAGTCGGAACAAGCAGTGAGAATTTGAAAGAAGCTAACACGACAACTGAAACATGCAACGTCAAAAGTAAAGAACTTCGAAGTGAGTTTGTTGCCGGTGAAAAAGTAACAGTTAGTTCCAAAAAAGTTCTATTCCAAATGTGCAGCCCTGGCGCGAGCACGTGTCCAGAACGATCACGTGATTGCACACAAATCATCCGCGGATCCGCGCAGCGAGCCTGGGCCTGGCCTGGCCTGACCTTTTTTTTTTTTTTTTGAAAAATCCTGACGGGTTCATTTGCACCCTTCGCACCCCCTGGATCCGCCCCTGCTGTCAAGAGCACACTCATCCATGCACCTTTTCTCAGGATGAACAAATCTATACAAAGCATCTTCAAGGAGACAATAATTTTAATAGAGCTGTGGATAAAATGAAGGCCGCAGACGTCACCACGCAACTAAGTTACTTGTTCGATAAAATATTATGCTTGTTTCTTATCCAGTCATTCAACAATTCAAACTTCTCTGATAAAGTCTCAATGACTGAAGCAGCTGCCAGAAGGAATTCAGTACTCAGAAAGAACCGCTTGCTGTTGTGGGAAGTGTGTATGTTGTCGGCCGTAGAGCGCAACAGTGGTATTCTAGTAGTCAGTTTATGGGGTTTGTTTGTGATAGGTATTGCACATACGGATGTAGAACCATGTTATAGGTCTTGGATGTTGAGCCAATATTAATATTTTTAAAGAGAAAATGACGTATAAGTTACTAGTTATGACTAATAGTCCACCAAGGTAACCAAGGTAACGAGATAATATACAAGCAGATAGCGCGACAACAAGATGTAGATGTGTTGGAACTAGGTGTCAGGTCGTCGAATGTCACAATATCCTTGTCAGTGGTGTGCCTTGTGCCCTTGTTGTCGCACAACCTGACTGTATTGTTATCTCGTTACCTTGGTGGACTGTTAGTCATAACTAGTAACTTATACGTCCTTTTCTCTTTGTTTTCGTGAGATCCTAGTGCCCCGTGGCCTCTTTAAATTAGTGTTGAAACGATCTCACCGGATACTCGTTAGCTCGCTCGCCAGAAACTCGGCTCGTTTGTGCGGCCAGCTCGTTTGCACTAACGAACACCGTACACCGTACTCCGTACACATGGCAGTGCATGTCGACCGGAGAGTCGTAAAATATTTTACGACTCCCTGGTCGATCGAGAGTCCAGTCCCGCGCAAAGTGAAAATCACTCGCAGTTACAGTGACTGTATGCCTGCACGACACTTGAGTTGTTTCAGTTGTCATTGCAGCTTTCGTGGACTCTACCGATGTCTTGTTCCGCATCTGTTGACCTGTCGCAGGATATGCTTTGGTCACCTCTCAAGTCAAGTGAAAGTTACGCTCAGTCGTTTAGAAGTTATCTCCCGCGATGCAGCGAAGACCAGGGCTACTTGCAATCTTTGCAAAAACGGTCTATTCTTACAAAGGCTACTCGACGACGGCGCTGAAAAGACATCTCGACAGCAAACAGCAGTCCGAAGTGAAGCAGCAGCAACCCCAAATGCCGGCGGTGATAATTTGAACCAGCTGAAAAAATCGAACTTAGAAAAAAATATTCAAAAAATCATATTTGCCACATCAATGAAACTCGTTAGCTCGCTCGATAGCTCGCTCGTTAGTGGAACTGATCGCTCGTTTGTTATAGATACGCTCGTTTCAACACTACTTTAAATAATGCAATAGGTCTGTACAGGTTTTAGCTGTTTCCGCCCGGCCCCATTTTGTTCTGTGTCAGGCATGCAGATCGTAAGTACATGTACTGGGTGACTAATATGTGTGTGTGTGTGTGTGTGTGTGGGCGCGTGTGCGTGCGTGCGTGAGTGTGTGTGTGTGTGTGTGTGTGTGTGTGCATGTGTGCGTCTGTGTGTGCACATGCACATCCACGTGTGTACAGGTCACACCGAGACCGTTCATTGCCTGGCATTTCTCAACGAGAACATCGTGTCAGTGTCCACGAGTAACAAGCTCGGCATCCACTCCTCCATGGATGACCAGGTAGGATTTAGATAGAATGGCCAAAGTGAAAAAACAACCTACAGGACTGCTGGTCGCCGAAGAACCGGGGTTCAGCCGCCTAGCCTATAGTCCACTCATTGGAAACTGGCACCCTAACTTTTTGGTGTCTCCTGCACGTAGTTTTAGATATCGTGAAAACAACATTACATCCTGCATTGTGCGACCCGTGCAATTACTCCTAGTCACATTTTTTGAGGCCAGAAAAGTCCAAGAACAGGGAAATAGAAATTCAGCCAGGTTTTGCAAAATTGGGACAGGTATGCCATGGCAAAATGTGTGGAGAAGCAGATCCAAAACCCAGATTTTTGAGATTTAAAGTGGGTTTTTGATCCTCAATTCGGCCCAAATCGGACTTTCAAAAGCCAGCGGGACAGTTTCCGATGAATGGACTATAGATTGTTCTTATTTTCATGTGCAGTAAAACCCGGTGTAAGCGACTTCTGGTTTTAGCGACCACCTGCTTTTAACGACCGTTTTTTCCATGCACGCACAGTTCTACACAGAAACTGCACTGGATACAGAGACCACCTGCCTTGCGCGACCAGCGACCAACTTTTAGTGTACCAAGTGCCGTATTGGACCTGCACACAGCGACCAAAACTAGCCCAAAAGTGCCACCTTGGCTGGCAGGGCTGACTGCAACAGGATTAAAGTGCGCGTTGAAGCAAGTGCATACAGTCAACAGAACTTCAGAAGTGACAATTAACAGTGCAGGATGCGCTGCATGCACTTGAGTGAGGTGTTCTGTGCCTGCATGAAAGTATTTTATGCTCCACACCTGTCAATATGAGTACATGGAAGTACAATCATGCACATGTATGTGCACGATCTGATATGCCACGGATTTATGGAACCTGGTTCCAAAGACCACCTGGCTTTAACGACCACTTTTGCTTGCACCGTGGGGTGGTGGCTTAACTGGTATGCTGTGCTTGGTGAAATTCTAGCCTGGTCGTTCTTCGGCACCCGGCAGTACTGTAAAAGTGACCTGCACCCGGTAACCAGTTTGCTTAGATGATTACTGAAAGTGCCATGCAAAGAGCCGGTTCTGGGGTTAGTATAATTATGACCATGCCGCCATTGGTTCCCTTACCTTTGTTTTTTTGAAGATATAATTATCATAGACGTTGATGATGTCATTGTCCTCCGAAAACCTCAACCTGTTTCTAATTTGTATTCTTGCTTCTTCGTCCCCTCTTATGTTTCTTTTGTCTGTCTTTTTCTGTGTGTGTGTGTGTGTGTGTGTGTGTGTGTGTGTGTGTGTGTCTCTCTCTCTCTCTCTCTCTCTCTCTCTCTCTCTCTCTCTCTCTCTCTCTCTCTCTCTCTCTCTCTCTCTCTCTCTCTCTCTCTCTCTCTCTCTCTTCAGGCTGGGTTCCAAAGCTGGAAGATCAAGAACGAAATCTTCAGAGGTGGAATCAGCTCTATCGGTGTCTTACCATCGAATCGTCTTTTACTGTTGGCGGGTGATTCCGGTCAGATTGCGTTGGTTTCGTAGATCGGCTGCTCCAGTTGTTGCTATCACTGCAGCAGTTATAGTCGTCTGTTGTAGAGTCATGATTGTTATTTCCACCGCACCTAGCCACACCAAAAGTCCTTGGCTACACATCAGAAAGAAAAAAATACCTCTCCAAACCTCTCCGACTTTCTCCGGATCTTTCCAAACTTTCGCTTTCGCGATTTTGTCCCAGAGTCGCCTGCTCTTTGTGAACTGTGACATTCCGTTCACCGTCCATGTTTTAATCTTGCAGTGAGCGTCCCTCCGTTCCTGCCTTGTCCATCTGCCGTCCCGTCCATCCAGTATTTCTTTACATATTCCAGTTCACGCTGCATCTGTGCTTGATATTATGGCGCTGTTTGCTTGGCCTTGCGGGCCATTAATTGCTTTCACGAACACATTGTATACGAAGTTGTATGTGTGTGGATTTTATGGAGCTTTTCTGCATCACACACTGGACGATGATCCTCTTCTTTGAGCCTTTAAAACTTGACTGCTGGCCAGTCATGACATGTACACAGTTCAAACTCTTTTGTGAACTGTTTATCGATTTTTTTTATCGTGCGCCCGCGTCACGCCGTGTTTTAATTTTATGAGTGTGTGTGTGCGTGCGTGTGTGTGTGTGCGTGTGTGCTTTTCATCAGATTGTCTATATTATGGTTGGTTACCACTACGACTGCCTGTCAATTGCTTCCGCTATTTACTTTGGCTTGGCGTCCGCTTGACGGCTCTCAAGTATACAGTAGGCGTCTCTGTGTGTGTGTTTGGGCATTGTCTCTGTTGCATGCGTGCCTACATGTATGTCCCAGCATACATGTATGCATGTTTGAGCTACACAAAGGAAAGTCAGAGCCTTATTTGTTGTAACTCAGAGGTTTGACAACCAATCATGCAGACAGAATTTGTGCACATCTTTCGTACTGGACTCAGGCTGCTAGCACTGGTTACAAGTTTACTTCTGGCTAGGTGGACACTTCTGCAATCACTGGTTCTGCAAGCCCGGCTATGTCCCATCCCCTCGTATCACTAATTCACTATTAAATATCAGTAAGTCACACACGCATGTATCAGATGAAGAGCAGAGATGCAAAACCCTGAAAAGCGCCAAATAATAATTTGAGAAAATCTTATTCCAGCTCAGTGTAATCACAAGGGCAGCACCAGACTAAATTTCACATTTTTGAAATATGACTAGAACCAGATATGATACCAACCTTTAATAGCCGCACATAAAATGAGAAAGTTACTATGATGAAATCATGGATATAGTTTTTTTGCATTCCAGCTCTTCAAATGTGATGGCGGTACATGTACATGTAAATGCAGTTGGATCATTCTCAGTCTGCGGGCCGCGGGGTGGGTAGTACTACTAGTAGCCGGTACCCTGACGTGATGCCACCAATCCTTATACTTCAGCACATGTTTTGTACAAGCTGCACCACATTCCAGGGCCTCCCCAGCAGGCCCAGGTATAAAGGCCATGCTGCCACCAACTAGTAGGGTCCAGCGGATAATGCCGGCATTATATTCGGCATTATGAGACTATCCGAGCATCAGAGCATATGGAGCATCAACTCGTAAAAACTCCAAGTCAATCTCCCATTGACACAAACCTCGTTTATTCAACATAATCATATCCTATCCAATAAAAACAGTTCATAAAAACAGTTCATAAAAACAGTTCATAAGGCCTATTATAAAAAACAGTTCATAAAAACAGCTTTTTAGGATCGGGTCGACCCAGTCCGCATTATAGCAATAAAAACTGCTTTATGGCAGTTTTCTAAAAAAAGTTATTGTGTTCTAGTCCATGGACCCCGTCTAAAAAGTAAGAAATTACCGATATGTGATAGCTGAAAATTAAAATTTCACACAAAACCTCACAATAATCACAACACTTGAAATGCTGCTTTCAACACTAGACTTGTACTGCACCAACAATTGGCAACATGCATGTCATGCATGCAAAGGAAAGAGGATCACGAGGGGAAAAGGTCTTCTACATGTAGCTTTTCATTCTGTGTGTGATTATTGTGAGGTTTTGTGTGAAATTTTAATTTTCAGCTATCACATATCGGTAATTTCTTACTTTTTAGACGGGGTCCATGGACTAGAACACAATAACTTTTTTTAGAAAACTGCCATAAAGCAGTTTTTATTGCTATAATTTCTTTTGTTTTGTCACCAATCAATGGAATGCCCTACATGTATATCAATATGTAAATGATGGCCTTCACATCATATCAAGAGGTTTATGTACTCTTGATCATATCAATACCGTATTATACGCATTGATGTGCAAGCCTTTTCTTGCAGAAAATGGCACTAGCATAATGCATGTTCTTCTGCGGGGAACATGTGAGTAGTGGTGGTTATACTCTTTATACGTAGGTCATTCTGTGCATGTTGCTGTTGCTGAATTTCATGACTCTGTCATAAATTTGTCTTGCCTTTCAGATTTCCCCACCCTCGATCAGATTTATTTGAGAATTGTAGCCATGCGCCAGGTGCGTGTCGCAGATGTTTTTGTTGATTCTGTGTTTATAATGGTTTACAATCATGGGTTATCATGATAAGGTCATCCAGCATCATATTGCACTGAAATGGTAATCCTGTTGATGTCGATACAACTTTTGGAAGTAGTGCAATGACTTCAAACTGTTAGTCCACGATTTTCTAGAACAACACAGCAAAGGAGGAACAATAAACATGTATTAAAATGTAAACAAATACATTGCTGAGTCCGACACCTCGTTCCAACAACTACACTGATCCTGAGGATAAAAGGGTCAAGGCTATGGTTGGAGGTACTGATACTGAGAGATAAACAAGGCACTCCATGATAATAAAATCTTACACATCTTTTGGTGAGTATGAATGATATCCAGTTGAACCTCTTTAGGATGAACACCAAGGGACCGATGGTATTTATTCTGTGAGTTTGTCTTAACCTAGTTTATAACCAGTGAATACAATTATTTCTCCAATAGACATACCAATAGATTTCTTCTACAGCGAAAGATTCTAAGCCACACCGACTCATTGACTTGTCTCGTATGAAACAAAAGAGTCACTAGAGAGGTTCTGCAAAACGAGAATGCGTACAAACTTTTGCTCTATATCATGAAGTGCGAAAATTTGCACGAACTTTCGCAACTTTGGACGCGAAACTTGCAGGGAACGCGAAATCAACTGTCGTAGGAAATTTCGTGAGATCGGGTCATGGCGTACGTGCACTTGGCCCGCGCAAACTACGAAAATGTGCAGAAAGCAAAGTTCGTGCAAAAATTCGTACACACTTTCGCAAGGACTGTCGCGAAACTTCATTCGAATTTTCGTTTTGCAGAACCTCTCTACTGAACCTTTCTTTAGCAACATGACGGCAACTGAAACAGCAACAGAGAAAGTACGATACATGTACTGCACATTCTTGCAGGTATTACAGGTACTACAAACAGATTGCAGATCGTAATTCTTGCTTTGGCGGCACGAAACTTTATTTGGGGCAATGCAATCTTGTTCTCCGATTTGTCTCTTGCTTCAAGCAACGAGGCAGCCCCTCTTCTTCTTCGGCGGTACTCACAAATCAAACAGCCCAGACTCGAGTAAACAAATCCAATCATACAAGTACGAGATTTTCACGAGACGAGACTGCACCCATTGGCTTGTTTCGTATGAAGCAAACAAGTTACTGAACCTGTCCACAATGGAGATTTTCCCTGACATGCGAATTTATTTGGCAAACTCGGTCAATGAGTCCTTGAACCTTTCCCTCCAGATTGGGAACTGCCAACGATAGTATGCCACTGACCAGTGCCTTACTTGTAACGTACTAATGTGCAATGAATATGAGTATTTCGACAACACATCTAACATAAGCCTTACCGTCAAGAAGGTGAACTCGCGTTCTTCGCACACTGTAGGCAAGGGCAAAGAGATAAAAATGGATCTAAATCCGAATAAAATCAGCACACGTTTCCGTAAATGAAAGGGTGAGCATAAGCAAATGAATCGAAGGAAACTGGTCAACTCAGAGATCACCTGTCATTGAGTATTCCGTAAAAGGAGGCCTCGGCAGCGGAAAAGCTAAATTTAGAAAGGAGATCCTGTCAGCTTTTCCATTATTTATTGCATTCCGCCCAAAATAGGCCTTGACAGATTATGCTAGCATAATTTTTCGCATAATTCCTAACAAAATCGAATAATCGCATAATTCGAGGCAAATTGCATACGAATCGCATAAAATTGGAATAATCCGCCTGTTCGCATCAAATTCCACACAGATGTTCTACAAGTACAAGTACAAGTAGATGCACCAGGAAGGCGCAGGTTTACGACTCCCTTGATAACATGTCCAGTCCACTACAATCATGAATCAGTGACCAGGGTGACGGTCGTAGCTAGGTCGGACGGTGCGTTGACCAGTTCAGTGTTGACCCCGTTGAACTTTTGCTACTACAGTACAGTACAACGCCCTCTACAAAAAAATTCACCTGTTATTTTGCACAGAACCATCATTTTTTTTCCTTAAAATTAATCCTTGCTGGGTTTTTTTCATCTAAATGTCCCGCTATTATCTGCAGAGGTGATTTCTTCCCTCGTCGATTTCTTTCCTGCTTTTATACCTCGATATTTACATGTAGGTACTTGTTTCCCTTCTTCCCATGCTTCATCTTCCACTCTCCTCTCCCCCATTTCCCCATTTTTCTTGCGATATTTATGTGGGAGACTTCCGTGATAAGCATCCATTTGCTTTTGGAGAATCCTTTTAAATAAATACAATACAAATACAAATAGAAAATCATACATTAGCAGCATATGTGAGCATAATGCGGCATAATATGATAACTTTTAGCATAAAAATAGCATAATTCTGCAATTTTTTCAGCAATGCGAAAAGCATAATTTCACGAAAATATTAGCATAATCCGTCAAGGCCTAGCCCAAAATCAGCAGACTTTTCGTAAATGAAAGAGTCAACACAAGCAAATGAATCAAAGGGAACTGGTCAACTCACCTGTCATTGCGTAATATTCCGCGAAAGGAGGTCTCAGCAGCGCCGAAACGAAGTAAGCCAGGCCAGGAGACGAAATATCAGAAACAGCTCATGCAAGAAGCAGTTCCAAAGAAGGAAGTTAGTTCCTCGCGCATGCACATATATGTACATCCGAACACGGACTGCATGCAACACAATGTCTGCCGTGCACGTGCACCGCACGCGGCTACCACCCGTTGGTAGATCTAATACCGAGCACCTTACGTAGAGACTTACGTAGCCTAAGTGAAATACCGAGCACCTTACGTAGAAACTTACGTAGCATAGCGGTGTCGTTTTTCTTGCCATGTGAACACAATAATAGAAAAGCTGACAGGATCGCTTTTCTAAATAACCAAGAGAGCTAACTCCCTTGGCTGCTATGCTGTTGGAATATGCAAGAATGGGCCTTCCAGATAAGGTCTAACAAGGAGAAGTGGCTATAGCTATGAAATGAACACCGGTAACCATGGAGACAGACCACACTCTCATTATAGATTATTATTATTATTACTTGCATGTACGCGTTGGAGTCAACCATGCAAGCATGATCCACAACTTCGCTTATGCTGAACATGATAAACAGGACTATGACAGGGGAAAGAAAGTGAGCTAGAACGATGATACAATGATATAATTATCATATACAATGTAGCTCATGGGTATTGAAGATATGTCATTTATGAATATGTCTTTAATTATGTCATTGAATATT